CCCTGATAAAACCATCAGGAGACACCTGTGAAGGAGACGCTCGATTCTGGTCTAAAGGAGGAACAGTTTGCAGCAGATGGGACAGGACAGCCTTCAGGAAGACTCGGTGTCACCTCCCAAGGCCTTGAGGGAAGACAGAGGACTAGGTGAATGAGGCCAGGGTTTGTATCATGGAAGGAAAGGGAGGGGCGGAGAGAAGGATGCTCGGGACTGATCAGAGCCTGGTTTTGAAGCTGCAGGGAATAAAATCTTAATACACAGCAGCCGTTAGAGGCTTTGAAGGCAAAGGGAAGACATGACCTGATTTATTTATTTTTAAATTGCTCCTTCTGCCTGCAGAGCAGAGAGCATATCAGAAAGGATGGCAGCGGGTATAGAGAGACATGTGTGGCAACTGTTGCAGTTTAGTCATGGGACACCCCCCACCTCCCCCACACCCAGGCAGGAAAAGATGAGAACACTCCTTGGATGAAAATTCAGTGTTGTCCTCAGACCCCTTGGGTCTTGTCTCAAGTCCAAGTTCTCAGGCCCCATCTCCAGAAAACCTGGGAATGAGACCCCACTGTTTGTTTTTTTGTTTGTTTGTTTGTTTGTTTTGTTTTGTTTTTGCTGATTCCTCAAGGTGCCCTGGTTTAGAGGCTTTCAGGCACAAACCTATAACGTGGATTCTTTGGATCTGACTTGGTGTTAGTTAAATAATAGATCCACCGGGCTATGGAGAATCCCTCCCTCCTTCAATACTTCTCTCCCTTATTCTCTTTCTTAATTTTTTTTACCTTTGTCTCTCCTCCCTCCCTCCCTCCCTCTCTCTCCCTCCCTCCCTCTCTCTCTCTCTCTCTCATTTTCTGAGACAAGGTCTTGTAACTCAGACTGGTCCTTAGAATCTTCATGCTTCTGCCTCAGTTTCCCTAGTGCTGGGGTTATAGACGGGCCTAGCCAGAGAAAGTGATTGAGCTAAACACAGAGTGGGGATAATGCCATTTCCTCTCCATTCTGTGTCTCTTGGTCCCTTTCATTTTGGGGTGCCATGTCTCCTGGACATCTCCAGGTTCTGACTGCCTCTGGGTCTCTCTCTCTCTCTCCTTTCTCACAGAGAGTGCGGATGGGCCCCTCCTCCTCCCCCATCCCTTCCCCATCCCCCAGTCCCACGGACTCCAAGAGATGCTTCTTCAGTGCCACTCCGGGACGCCTGCATATCTCTGACTTCAGCTTCCTCATGGTTCTAGGGAAAGGCAGCTTTGGGAAGGTTAGATTCCTGGGGTTCTGCGGGAGGGGAAGAGGCCTGTAGAGAGGTTGGATTTCTACTCCTTAGGGGGGAAGTTTAGCTGGGAGACTAACTGGGCTCCTGAGTCCCTAAGCGGAGTTAGGTTAAGATTGGGTATCTGGGGGCTGGAGAGATGGCTCAGCGGTTGAGAGCACTGGCTGCTCTTGCAGAGGACCCGGGGTCAATTCCCAGCAACCACACGGTGGCTCACAGTCATCTGTAACTCCAGCTCCAGGGAATCCAACACCCTCACACAGACAGGCAGGCAAAACATCAACACACATTTTAAAAAGAAGATAGGGTATCTGGGTATTTCTGCTATAAATATAATCAATATTGGGTTGGTAAGGGCACTTGCCACCAAGATAACAAAGCAGATACAGGTGTTGGCAACCAAGGCAGACTACCTGAGTCCTAGTCTCAGGAATAGAATGGAATGTTAGAACTGACTCCCCCAAGTTGTCGCCGTCACTGTGGCAGTCACACCCTTCCCCGTAACTAATAATTGTGATAAAAAAAATTCAATACGCCAGTACTTTCCTTGAGGGGAGTAAATGCAATTGCTGAACACCCGGTCCCCTGAGAGAGACAGAAGGGGCTCTGCTCCTGTCTTCCGTGTGAAGAGTGGTGCAGAGCCCTGCAGCACTGAGTGTCTCAAATGGGCTGGACCTTTCGGACATCTGTCTGTAGGTGATGCTGGCAGAGCGCAGAGGTTCCGATGAACTCTATGCCATCAAGATCCTGAAGAAAGACGTCATAGTCCAGGATGATGATGTGGACTGCACCCTTGTGGAGAAACGTGTCCTGGCACTGGGAGGCCGAGGTCCTGGAGGCCGGCCCCACTTCCTCACCCAGCTTCATTCCACCTTTCAGACACCGGTGAGGAAGGAGGGATGGGGGGTCAGGGTTTAGAAGGCTCAGTTCAAAGAAAGGCAAAAAGAACCTTGTGCTCTGAGGAGATACGACCGGGGCTGAGAGACGGCTCCGTGGGTAAGAGTGCTTGCTTCACAAGTGTGAGGGCCTGAGTTTGAATCCGGTCCTCACTTTAGAAGTCAGATATATCTGAGTGTTTCATAGCCTAAGCACTGGGGGCCAGAGACAAGTGGGTCCCAAGACCTCTCTGGTTAGTTAGGATTGTGGTTTTGGTTAGCTTCCAGCTCAGGGAAAGACCCTCCCTGTCTCTAGGCAGTAAGGAAGACACCACGACGTCCACATGGAATGCATGGGCTCACACGCCCTCACACTCACACTCACAACCACACTTTACCACATACAACTACAAACAAATCGTTAAAATGTATGAATAAGGCTGGAGGTGGTGGTGCACATCTGACATCCCAGCACTCAGGAGACAGAGGCAGGTGGTCTCTGTGAGTTCGAGGCCAGCCTGGTCTCCAGAGCGAGTGCCAGGACAGCCAGGGCTACAAAGTGTGACACTGTCCCAATACAATAGAATAAAAGTAAACTAAATGACCGAGTGGTCTGGAAGGATGATGGCTCAGTATTGAAGAAGGCAGAAGACCTGAGTTTGGTTGTTCGTCAAATGTGCAATGACTCTTAATAACTTGTAACTCTAGCTCCAGGGGGATCTGATGTTTCTGGTCTCCGGGGATCCTTGTGCTCATATGCACAGACCTGCCCCCCCAAAAAAAATACATGACTTAAAACGATATAAAAAGTAATTTTAGCCGGGCGTTTGTGGTGCACGCCTTTAATCCCAGCACTCTGGAGGCAGAGGCAGGTGGATCTCTGTGAGTTCGAGACCAGCCTGGTCTCCAGAGCGAGTGCCAGGTTAGGCTCCAAAGCTACACAGAGAAACCCTGTCTTGAAAAACCAAAAAAAAAAAAATCAATTTTAAAGGTGAATGAATGAATGTGGTCTTGCAAGTGGGATCCACTTGGGATGGGGTGCTGGTGCCCGGCAGGGCGCGGCCGTAGGATGGGATCTGAGTGTGTGTGGCCAGGAAGTCTGTGGTTCCTATGAACTGCCTTTCCAATGCCTGCAGCCAGTGTTTCTGTGACTTCAAGGCCAGGAATGAGGTAGATGGGAATGTTTTCTTTCTTCTTCTCTTTCCTTGAGACAGGGTCTCAGGTAGTCCAGGTTGGTCTTGAACTTGCTCTGTATTGGAGGATGAGCCTGCTTATGCCGTACTGGGGATTGACCTAGGGCTTTGTGCGTGCTAGACAAGCGTTCAGCCCACCGGATTGTATCCCCAGCCCTTAGGGGTATCTTCTAATCGGACATGCCCAGAGTGATTGGGCTTCCAGGGTGAGCGCATCAGTTTTGGATTCTGAGCGAAGGATGAGCCATGAGAAGAGTGTTTCCCTGAGACTGCGGGATTGGAGAGGACGCTGGAATCCTCGTG